CAATAAGGCACCAGAAAGAAATAAAAGTCTCATAGATTGAAATAAAGAATCTAAAACTGGGCTGGGGATGTGGCTCAAGCGGTAGCGCGCTCCTCTGGCGTGCGTGCGGCCCAGGTTTGATCCTCAGCACCACATACCAACAAAGATGTTGTGTCCGCCGAAAAAACTAAAAAAAAAAGTAAAACATTAAAAAAAAAAAAAAGAATCTAAAACTATATTTGTAGACAAATACGCCTACAGTATATAAGGAATATCACAAATAATCTACAAAGTAGTTACTAGAATAAATGAATTTAGTAAGGCTATTGGATATCAAAATTAATTGTAGTTCTATGTAGTGATGAATAGCTAAAAATTGTTTTGTTCCACTGATCTGTATGTCTGTGATTTTACTAATATCACAATTTTTTTGTTTTTATTTTTTGTGTTTTTTCAACTTTTTCATATCTCTTTACTGTCTCTCCATCCAGAAGAGTCCCTTTACCTCTCACTATTCTTCATGATAATGAATTCTTCTAAGATACAAATCTGGACAGGAATAGTKGTACATGCCTATAATCCCAGTAATTTAGAAGACTAAAACAGGAGGACAGCAAATTCAAGGTCAGACTCAGCAACTTGGTCTTTAAAAAAAATTAAAATAAAAATAAAAGAGCTGGAGATGGGGCTTGGGTGCAACTCAGCGGCAGAGCGCCTGCCTAGCTTGCATAAGGCACTGGGTTTGATCCTCAGCACCACATAAAAATAAACAAATAAGATAAAGGCATTATGTCCATCTACAAATACAATCAATCAATCAATCAATCAATCAATTTTAAAAAGCTGGGCTGGGGTCTGGCTCAGTGACAAAGTGCTTGCCTTGCACATGTAAGGCACTGGGTTTGAGCCTCAGCACGACATGAAAATAAATAAACAAAATAAAGACATTGGGTCCACTTATAACTAAAAAAAAAGTTTGGGAGGAAAAAAAAGAGCTGAGGATATGGCTCGGTGGTAGCATGCCCTTGAATTAAATGCTCTGACAACTTAAAAAAAAAAAATTCAAGACAGCTGTCCTACAGGACACCCCATTTGGGAATTTACCAGTTTTTAGGGGATTGAAATTAAATACTTCGGGCAAGAACAACACATTCTACATTCCCCAGCACCTTCACAAAAAAATAAATAAATAAAATCTTCTTCATAATCTTTCCTGTCTGATGTTACACTTATTAAAAAAAAAAAAAAAAAACACACACACACACACACATTCTAAATCCAAACTGGTGTCACTCTTATAATCCCAGCTACTTGAGAGGCTAATGAAGGAGGATACCAAGTATGAGGCCATCTTGGGGAATTTAGCCACACCCTATCTCAAAGATAACAAGAGGTGCTAAGCAACTCAGTGAGACCCTGTCTCTAAATAAAATACAAAATAGGGCTGGGGATGTGGCTCAGTAGTTGAGTCTTCCCGAGTTTAATCCCTGGTACAAAAAAAAAAAAAAAGAAAAGAAAAGAAAAGAAGAAGAAAGAGAAAGAAAGAGGAAGGGAGGGAGGGAGGGAGGGGAAAGAAAAGAAAAAAGAAAAATTAAATATTTCTGTCAAGAACAACACACTGAAGTTGGGCGTGGTGTCACTCTTTTAATCACAGTTACTTCAGAGGCTGATGCAGGAGGATAGCAAGTATGAGGCCATCTTGGGCAACTTAGCCAGACCCTGTCTCAAGATAAAAAGTTTTAGCTGGGTACACTGGTACATGCCTAATCCCATTGGCTCAGAAGATTGAGGCAGGCAGATCTCAAGTTCAAAGTCAGTTTCAGCAACTTACTGAGGCCCTGAGCAACTAGGGAGACCCTGACTCCAATTAAAAATTAAAAATAATAGGGATATCAGGGGCCGAGGTTGTGGCTCAATGATAGAACACTCTCCCGGCACACGTGAGGCAATGGGTTCAATCCTTAATACCACATAAAAAATACAATAAAGGTATTTGTATACACCTACAATTAAAACATAGATATTAAAAAAAAAAAAACGAAAGAAAGAAAACCGAAAATGGGTATATTGCTCAGTGGTTAAGCACCCCTGGGTTTAACACCTGGTGCCAAATAAATAATTAAAGAGACAAAATTTTTAAAAGGGGGCTAGGGAGGTAACTCAGTGGTAGAGCACCTCTGGGTTCAATTCCCAATACTGCAAAAATTAATTAAGTAATTAATTAATCAATAAAAGGGCTAGGGATGTATTTTAGCAGTACAGCTTAGTACCAAAAAAGAACAGAATACAACAATTGCAACACTAGGCACCACCTACTACCACACGAGATCATTTTTAGGCCATTTCACTACTATTGATACAAAGTTTTCTCCTCACTGTGAAGGTATAGTTTCCCCTTTATAATTCATAAAGCGATCAATAACCTAAAATTGTCAATTCATAATTTATAATCTGTGGGGTAGTATTTTCATACTCTAAGAATATACTGTTCCTCAGGGATGGGGCTAGGGTCATCTTGTGATCTTCCTGCCCCAGCCTCCTAGTTGCTGGGATTACAGGTCTGTGCACTGGACCCAGCTTGTTTTTTTCTTAATGAACATCACTATGACCTCAGGGATTCTTTTTTCCTCACTTACTATTGTCATCTTTCTTCCTTTTTTTTTTTTTAATTTTTCTTCTTTTTTGGTACTTGCTCAGGAGTGCTCTGCCACTGAGTCCTTTTTATTTATTTACTTTGAGGGGGTGGATACCAGGGATTGAACCCAGGGACACTGGACCACTGAACCCCATCCCCAGCCCTATTTTGTATTTTATGTACAGACAAGTGTCTCACAAGTTGCTTAGTGTCTTGCTTTTGTTGAGGCTGGCTTTGAACTTACAATCCTCCTGTCTCAGCCTCCTGAGCTGCTGGAATTACAGCTGTGAACCACCACACCTGGCTTTATTTTGTATTTTGACACAAGGTCTCCCTAAATTTCTGAGGCTGGTTTTCTGAACTTGTGATCTTCTTGTCTCAACCTCTGGAGTCACTGTGATTATAGGCATGTGCCACCATGCCCAGCAGCACTGTTTTTTTTAGTCAGTTAAATTCCTTTTTTGTACCAGTTTTTACATCCTTTTAATATATGATCTCATTTATTTTAAATTTATTTATTTATTTATTTGAGAGAGAGAGAGAGAGAGAATATTTTTTTAAATATTTATTTCTTAGTTTTTCAGCGGACACAACATCTTTGTTTGTATGTGGTGCTGAGGATCGAACCTGGGCCGCATGCATGACAGGCGAACGCGCTACCGCTTGAGCCACATCCCCAGCCCTGATCTCATTTATTTTTGAGCACCTTTCTAGCTTTCTGGCCCAAGATGCTTCAAGGGCCTAGCATTTTCTTCACAGAAAGATTTTATAAGATTTTATTCACCATTGCACTTATTGACCTACTCGGATTTTTTAATTGTTCTTGGATCACTATTGGTTATTTTTTTATTGGCCAAATGTCCATTCAACAGAGTCACCAAAATTCTAAATTCATTGGCATAAACTTGTTCATATCTTTTAAATTTCTACTTTACCTGTAGGTACATGTCTTTTTCATTCCTAATATTCATTAATGTTTTCTCTTTTTTCCTTTGATTAATCTTAAAGAGTTTATATTTTACTAGACTTTATTTTATTTTTTAAAACATTTATTTTTTAGTTACAGGTGGACACAATATCTTTATTTTACTTTTATGTGGTGCTGAGGATTGAATCCAGTGCCTCAGGCATGCTAGGTGAGTGCTCTACTTCTGAGCCACAACCCCAGCCCTTTACTAGACTTTTTAAAGACTCGTATTTCAACTTTGCTGACCTTTATTAAACCTCTTTTGTATTGATTAATTMATTGCTGTCATTTTTATATCTCTCTTCGATCTTGACCTTATTCTGTTGTTCTTTAACTTTTTACAAGGTATGCTTAGCTCATTAATTTTCAAGCTCTTGCATTTTAGGCTATAAATTCCCTTTATGTTTTACTAACCCACTCCAGACTTCTTCTTCATCTATCTATCTCTAGCTGCACTATTTCCCTGTCTACTTGACATTTCCACTTACACTAAAAGACAGCTCAAACTTAACACGTCAAAACAGCCAAATGCTGAAGCACATTCCTGTAATCCCAGCGGCTCAGGAGACTAAGGCAAGAGAACTGAGTTCAAAATCAGCTTCAGCAATTTAACAAGACCCTAAGCAACTCAGGGAGACCCTGTCTCTAAATAAAATACAAAAAAAAAGGTGGGGGAGGGGGCTGGGGATTTAGCTTGGTGGTTAAGTGTCCCTAGGTTCAATTCCTGACATCAAAAAAAAATTTTTTTAAATTTTAAGATCCCCAAAATCTTATCCACCTAAAACTTTTTGTGTTGGGGTATACTCGGGCTTGAAAACATGGATGCTTTACCACTAAGTAACACCCCAACCCTCTTCATATCTTGCTTTGAGAAAGGGTCTCCCTAAATTGCTGGTATTATAGGAGTATACTATTGCTCCCAGTTTCCATCTAAAGTCTTTGCCACATAGTTAAAGGCAAATCCATCCTTCTATCACCAAGGCCACAACTTGGAATTGTTTTKTTTTKTTTTKTTTTKTTTTGAGAGAGAGAGAGAGAAATAATTCTTAATATTTATTTTTTAGTTTTCGGCAGACACAACATCTTTGTTTGTGTGGTGCTGAGGATCGAACCCGGGCAGCAAGCATACCAGGCAAGCGCGCTATAGCTTGAGTCACATCCCCAGCCCTGGAATTGTTATTTAAAAAAAAAAAAATTTTTTTTTTGTAGTTGTAGATGGACAGCATGCCTTCATTTTATTTGCTTATTTTTTGTATTTGATGCTGAGGATTGAACCCAGTAACTCACATGTGCTAGGCAAGTGCTCTGCCACTGAGCCACAACCCTGGTCCCTGAAATTATCTTTGATTCCTTTTTATCAAACTCTACTACATCAATCTGTCAATAATTTGTTCTACCTTCAAAATATATCCAGAAACTGTTTGTTTTGGTAGTGCATATATTAATAGTAGAATGACAAATGAGATTAGCATGGCCCCTATAAAAGGATGACACACAAATTGGTGAAACATTCCATTAAAATATATACACACATACAAAGTGGCTATATATGTGGAGATATATACATATCATTAATATACAGAATATCTATATTATAGAYATACATATAATATGTAGGATATATACCTATTATCTCCAGAAATCATTTTCTTATCACCGCTATTTCTGCATTCCTGTTTGTGCTTAAGCTACCTTTATCTGTTACCTGGACTATTATTCTTGCAATAGGTCTCTCTGCTTCTCTTTCCTCCTTGTAGTTGATTGTTATATGGTAATGGGTGATCCTTTCAAAAGTAAGCCAGAACATGTTATCCTCTGTTCAAAACCCTCCAATGGGGCTGGAGGTATACTTTAGTGGTAGATTACATACTCATTAATAAGCATGTGGGAGGCCCTATGTTCAATCCCTAGCACCACCTCCAAAAACAAACCACTAAAAAGCCCTACAACAGTTAAAAAAAGAAAAAAACATGTCCTACATTATCTCCCTTATCTCTCTGACCTCATCTAGTTTTCCCTTTACTACTTTTGTGCTATTCTGGAAAACTGCTCCTTGAACATACCAGAAACACTCATACTTATGATCTTGGTCTAACTCTAACTCGATCCTTGGTCTAGAATCCTTTTCCTTCAGATATCCATCAGACTGACTCTTTCAGTATCTTCAGGGCTGTACTGAATTCTCTCACTCTCTTAATTAAGCCTATCTTAACTGCTTCCTTTTATATAGGTAAAGTATACCCTATCCGAAATGTTTGGGACCAGAAATGTTTCAGATTTCAGAGGATTTTGGATTTTGAATCAGATTAAAGTATGCTAAACCTGCACTACAATTCATTCCCAGAATGAATTCCAATGTCCTTTACCCTGCTCTACTTTTAACCTTTTCCCTAAGACTTTATCACCATCTATCATACTAATTTACTTTTCCATTTTGTCTATTATCTATTCCATTTTCCTATCAAATGTTATCCCCACAAGGTCAGAAATTTTAATGTATTCATGGATGGATCCCATGTGGCACACTGTAGGCACTCAACAGAATAAGTCACATTCGCTGGGTGCAGCGGCACATGCGTGTAATCCCAGTGTTTTAGGAGGCTGATAGAAGGATTGAGGGTTCAAAGCCAGCCTCAGCAACAGCAAAGCACTAAGCAACTCAGTGAGACCCTGTCTCCAAATAAAATACAAAATRGGGCTGGGGATATGGCTGAGTGGTTGAGTGGCCCTGAGTTCAATCCCTGGTAAGCACCATCCCCCCCAAAAAATAATAAGYCACATTCCTTTTAGCATGTAGTATTCTCATTACCATTTAGTATTATATATGTTTAAATTTCTACTATGATTTCTTCTTTGAATCATGAGTTATTTGGAAATTCATTATTTTAATTTTCAAAGTAGAATTTTTTTATTTTTCTTATTAGCATCTAAGTTCTACCTTCTAAGCACTAGCGTGAAACTGCACAGATCTAYATGATACAGAATATTTGAAGCTATGCAAATGTGACATTAGCATAGGAATATTGTACATATAATTAATTAGTTTAAATATACTTTATTCAAGAATTTGTATTTCCTGGGCTGGGGATATAGCGCAGTGATAGATTTTTTCTTTGCCTAATATTTTTTAATCTTTTTTTGCAGTGCTGGGAGTTGAACCAAGGGCCTTATACATTCTAGATGCTAAGTAAAGGCACTACCACTGAGCTACATCCCCAGCAACTCCCCTCTTTCCACCTTTTTCTGTGGTACCAGGAACTGAACCCAAGGCCACAAGCATGCTACTAGGCAAGTGCTCTAGCAGTGTACCACATTACCTAGTCCTAGCAGCTAACCTTGGAAGATTTATCACATAATAAAGTCTTCTGCTAATTTTTTTAAATTTTTTTAATGGCGAGGGGTCCTCACTATGTTGCCCAGACACACCTCAAACTCCTGGTTCAAGTTACCTTTACACCTCAGCCTCCTGAGTAGTTAGGACCATAGGCCTTTTTATTTTATTTGCAGTACTGAATATGGACCCCAGGGGCACTCTGTCACTGAACTACATTCCTAGTCCTTTTTATTTTTTATTTTGAGACAGGGTCTTCCTCAGCTACCTAACTCGGGATCCTCCTACCTCAGCCTTCCATGTAGTTGGGATTACAGGTGTATGCCCAGTATGTAAATATCTTTCTTTCTTTCTTTTTGGTGCTGGGGAATTGAACCCAGGAGTGCTTTACCACTAAGCTATATTCGTAGTCTTTTTATTTTTTACTCTGAGACAGGGTCTTGCTAAATTGCTAAGGCTGGCCTCAAATATGTGCTCCACCTGCTTCAGCTTCCCAAGTTACTGGTATTTAAGGTATGTGTCACAGGGCCCGGCTCAAATCATACTTTTCTTGACCTACAATATAGTAGGTAGTAGTAGACACAATATAGTTTATTCCGTTCTGACTTTAAAAAAAAAAAAAAACTTCACCAATTAAACACTATTTTACACAGATAATATTCACTTAGGCTTATTCTCTAAATTATCAATTATTTGCTTAGCATTGCTTTTTATTGCTTAGACCTTCTGGATTATT